ACACAACTAAAAGTACATCATCGCAGTTTATCTGTTTACTTGTCTACCTCTCTCACAAGTTTGCAGCCAACCATGCTGTAAACTAAGAAAGAAAGGCCCAAAGAAGTTGAGAGAGATGCCCAAGGTCCGAAGACTGTAAGTATTCTTTATGGCACAGAAGTCCCTGATGGGTGATGTTCTTACAATGAGGACAGGCTGACTTCTGTAAAACCCTTGAAAAATCTTCTTCCAGTTATTAATACAACTTGCTAATATAAGCAAAGTCACTCCTACACATACGTGTATGCATGTGCATGTGTCACACACACACACAGAGTTTCTAAATGGAAGGTTTAATTTGGTAGCACACTGCTGTTAGTTAAATGATCCTGCAACCACGAGACATATCTCTCGCTTATCTCCCTTTGGTTAAATGTTTTAAAATGAGTTTAAAATGGGGTTGGCTCAAATGACAGCTCTTCATTTCACCTTGTTTCTGCAGATGCCATTTGTGGGAATGTTTTATGATTCTGTTAATTACCTACATCAAGAGGTTATTTTATTGTTTCTAGGAAGCAGAGTTATAAATGTAAATATTCCGAGGCAGCAAATTTCTTGAGCAAACTAAAATGATGAGATATAAAATCAATGCATATACTTGATTTAGTTAATAATATCCTAAGTATGGGGTGAAGGTGGGAGTTCATAACCCACTAGAATCAAAGTGTGGAATATGATATGTCAAGAAATTTGTAATGTTTTGAACAACCCACAATAAAAAATTAAAAAAAAAAAAATAATAATAATAATATCCTAAAATATTCTTCAGACACATATCTATGCCTGGACAAATGGAGGCAGATGGTGTGCTTTAAAAGCAAAATGTCCAAAAGATGTGCACTCTGGTACTTAAATGTCTTTTAACTTCTCTGGGCCTCAGTTTCCTCATCTCCAAAATGGGAGATTACAACTCCCTGTGGTATTGTGAGGTTAAATAGGTTATTGCATAAAAATATCTGACAGTTATAAAGGTATATAAGTGCTGTCTTCTGATTGAGTGCTGAGGAATTTTGTCACAATGATGAACAGCTAAAAGTCTAAGTCCTAGAGCTGTATCGCCTGTGTTTATTCTGACATTACCCGTTATTAGCTGTTACCTTGAGTGAGGCTGCTTGAACCCCTTGTACCTCAGCTTCTTTGTCTGTAAAATGGGTAACAATAGTGCCAGTTTCATGGTGGCATGAAGACAGAATGAGATAATCCATGACACTGGCTTAGAACAGAAATGGGCCCATAGTCACGTGAATAATGAGTGTTCACTGCAAACAGGTGTATGTCCATTCCACAGACGCTCACTTATGCACCTTTATGACCTAACAGTGTAGAAATAAGGCTGACTTCCTTTGTTTCATTTCGCTTGCCTCCATCTGGCTGGACCCTTCCCATCTAATTTTTCTTCTGTTGTGTTTCTCGAAATGGAAAATAAACACCTTAATTATGAATAAAAATGGAATGTTTCTCTCCTAGGTATCAATAAAAATGATTTTTTTCCCCTGAGGAAAAAATACTCTCTTGCCCTCCTGGCAAATCCGGGCATCAGAGTCTTGCTGTGCTCAGCATGAGGGGCTTGGCACATGCTAAGAACGGCGATGTGTATGCGCCTCAGCAGCTCTGGGCACAGCGAGGGGCCCCTGTACCTTGGACAGGCGTGGGAGCAGCTCGATATGCTAACACAGCCTGAGCCTCTCTGCAGAGCTCACAAAACTGAGAGGACAGCCCCTCAGCCCATGGTCACCAAGAGACTGTTTTACATGGAAACATGTCCTCACCCCACCTTGGGAGAGATGGCTCAATTCCAGGAGAAGGGAAAAGCCTAGATTTGGGAGCCAATCCTGCCTGGGTTCAAATCCCGGGTCCACAGTATAAAACAGCACAGCACGACTGAGGACAGATTCTTTACCCTCTCTGAGCTTGAGTCTCAGCATCCATAAAGTGGGAGTAAGAATACTGACCTCAGAGCAGTTGTGAAGCATCAATGAGAAGAAGCAGGGGAGGCACTTTTGCCAGTAGCTGGCACATAGAAACTGTGGGTATGGCTTCCCAAGCCCCAGCACTATTTCTGGACCATTCCACAGATGACTTGTCCAAGAGCTATGAAAGATCTGGAGGCTCCAAAAAAGAGCTTGCTCTGCATCTCGCCTCCAGCTCTTTGGAGTACAGGAGGAACTGGCTCTTTCAGTCCCATACGGCCTCGCATTTTCAGATCCCCAGTCAATTTAGGCTGCAGGGCACAAACAGAAGGCAGACCTTTCCTTAGCACAGCTCAGTTACCTTTCATCTGGCCCAATTTTCTTCTCTCAGAAGTTTGCTAAAAATGTCAAGAAGCAACCAATACACATCATTATTCTGACCTTTTTCAACCGTTTCCCCCAGAGGGGCAGACCCAGGGGACATAGGGTCTCACTTCCAAGGCTGTTGCGAGCAATAGTTTACAAATGTTTCACCACATCATAAGAAGGGTCACCAACTTCCCAGCCTGCAGTCTCTTCCTACTGTTTTCCAACATATGGCTCCTGCCTGGAAAGCCGAGATCACACGTTCTGCTGGAGAGGGGCTTCACAGCACCGTTTCACTTCTAGTTCCAATTCCACATTAGAAAAAATTGGGGTTTCAGCGGCTCTCACAGAAGAGGAACTGGAATGAAACAAAGTCTCCAGAGGCAGACATTCTGGATTGCAATCCAGATCCCACTGTTTACTACTGCACCGCCGCGGACACTCTACCTAAGTGTGCTCAACCTCAGTTTCTTCATCTGTAAAATGGAGATGGTGATCACCATAGCCTGCTATTGCACAGCTGTGAATAATAAATGAGTCAATGCATGTAAAGTACTTGGTAACAGGCATGTAGCAATAAGCTCTCAATAAATGTTAGATCTGGTTACCACTAAACACCTGTTATGTGCTGGGCATTGCTTGTGGAAAGATCATGAATAACAAGCAACCCATTGTCCCCAGCCTCCTGGGGTTTACAGTTTAGAAGCACAAGTATGAAGAATATAATTGCATTTGCCATTGTTTGTACAGCAAGAATGATAAAGTCTGTGAAGGAGATGATTTCGAATTATTTGCATCCTCAGCCAATCAGAGTCCCTGAATTGAAGAGAGACACAGAATCTACATTCATCGCATTCTACGTGGAAAGTAAATCTAGAAAAAGTCAGTCATGCTCGCTCATTCCACTTCATATGATGCTTTAAAGTAACCTGCACTTTCACATCTGTACAGTGGCAAGATGACATTGTAACTCAAAACAGCCTTCCCAATCAGACTGCCTGGGTTTAAATTCAAGCTCTACCATTGACCAGCTTTGTGACCTTGGTATGTTTCTCCACCTCTCTTGGCTTCAGTTTTCTCACCTTTGAAATAGGCATAATAGCTCACCATGCTATTAAGAGGGTTCAATTAGCTGATACCCATAAATTACTCAGAACAGATCTTAACACCTAGTGAACACTCAGTAAGTTGCATTTTTATTATTTCTTTTGAACTTCTCAGCAGACTCATAGGAAAGGCAGTTATTGCCTCCATTTTACAGATGAGGAAACTGAGAGGCTCCAAGGAATAACCTAACAATCTGCAAAGCTGGAGCTCAAACCCAGGTCTCCTTGCTCCACATCCATTGTTCTTTCCCCTACTACCAATGCATTCTCAATTAGAAGAAAAAAAAAAACAGATGTTCTCCTTGAAAAGTCAACATGTAAAGGGTATAAAATGTTTCTGAAAGAGGGAGGCTATTTTGGCATATAATGGAGTAAAGTAGCAAAAGAAAGATAAAAGAAGCCAAAGGTTTTATTTTAAAAGATAAATGAATAGCAAACTAGCTGGCTTAGAATGAGAGAGGCTAAGAATATTTTCCTGCATAATTAAATCTTTAAAGATTCGGTTAGAGCACCATAGTTTACATCAGGTTAAAACAAAAGATCACATTAGCAAATTGCACAAGCTTATATGTGGTGCTTTACCCACCAAGCAATTATTAACAAGCCAATTTTAGAGACTTCGTTCAGACTATCACTGTAAGATGAAAGAGACGGGACATTTAGGGTGCTAGATATTTTTAAGGCAGGACAAACACAAAAACAAAAACCCCATTTATTCTAACACTAGTGTTTATCTAGAAATTATAAATTTTGATTATTTTTTTAAATCTTGGTGAAATATATGTAACAAAAATTCATTGTCTTACCCATTTCTAGGTGTGTGGTTTGGCAGGATTGAATCCATTCACGTTGTTATGCAACTATCACCACCATCCAGTCCCAGAATTCCTTTCACCTTGCAAAACTGAAGCTCTGAGCCCATCAGACAAAAGCTTCCCATTCCCCCTCAGAATTACGATTTTTTGAAATCAAATCAATTTTGGATCAAGATCATGTTCTTTCAACTTATCCAGTTTTTGTTTTTGAAAACAAAATTTGCTATAATTTGAAAGCTTTTTCGAATTCGGGTACGATGTGGTTCATCCCAATTAGCAAGTCACCTGTTCCCTTAGAAGTGAGAGGAGACCACTGCTGTCTAATGTCATGCCATTATTTTCTATCACAGCCCCAGCGACAATTCTGATGTTGGAAAGTTGAACAACAGGAGAGAGTTGTTTGTAAATCCAGACCAGATGAAAAGGACAGAAGTTTCCAGAATCCATCTTATCCATTCAATAAGCTTATCATCTGATGTCAGTCCCATCCATTGAAATGGGATAAAAAATGGAGAGTTTTGTGCATACACAAAACCCACTGACAGTCTGGCTGTTCTGGGAGAAGGTTCTGGTCAACCCAGCCCACACCCGATCATTATGCTTTCAACTGCATTTGCCACAAGAGGCAAAATATTCTAGCTGCTGTCAGGGCCCTCAAAGACACTTCATAACATCCAGTTCAACAGATAACAAGTCACAAAGACACTATTCTTTGCAAATGACAATGAATTTTTCATCTCGGGCTTTTGATGTGTCAGGACAGATATTTAGAAGGAAAAGCCTTTATTACTTCTAATCAAAGAAAAGAGGCTTTTTTTAAAAAAAGCAAAATTTATCAGGAGTTTCTTCAGGACAAACTGTGTGACCCCGGGCTTTGTTCCTGGAGAAGAGATGTCTTTGAGGACAATAGGAACTGCAACAGGATCGTCTGATTGTCCCCTTCCCCGTGGGCCCAAGGCAGCCCCTTATAAATGGGCTCCAACCCCGCTGCGGAGGTACTGATGAAAATAGTCAATCACCTCACATTTATTTGGCACTGTGTGGTTCCCCCGGGTATCATTTCTCTGCTCTGAGCTTTGTAGGCACTGCCGTTCTGCTTGCTAATGACATTAACAGGAGGATGGTGTCTCTGCTATGAGCAATGGCCATTTTCAGCAAAAACACTTGGTCTGCTCCAGATTCGCTAAATGATACACATTCAAAGAGTCCCTTAGAACAAACTGCGGTTCACACACCAATTTTGACTTTAAAAAGCACTCAAGTAGAAATACCTGTGTGCATGCATAAGTTTGTGTGCGTGTGTGTGTGCATGTGTGTGTGCGCTTCATTCTGTGGGTCCTGTTTATGTTTATGTTTATGATTATGCATCTAACACTTTAACTCACGTACCTTTTCTAGGGAAAGCAGGTCAGAGGTCAGGACAGCCTGTGCAGGCTGCCTCTCAGACGAAGCCTACCTCCATGAGCTCTGGCCACAGTCATTTTTTTCCATCTGCTGGCCTCAAAGATTCAGTGCAAATAAAAACCTCCGAAGCATCTCGGTTCAGCAACACTCACTTGTGACATGCTCACTTTAATGACACAGTAATGTCGTGCCCCTTGGTGTGCCGTTTTATTGTGAGGCTTAATCAAAGGCAAAAGGAAATAAAGATGTCTGGCCTGGGCGCAGGTGCTTCTTTGTCCGAGTGTGTTCCTGGGGGCGGGAGAGTAGGCACAGGCGTCGGGGGGGCTGTGCACAAAGGCTGGGCTTCCCAGGTTCTTGGCAGTTGTTTTTTTCAAGGAGTCCAGAGGTTTGCTCTGAGTCTGTGCGTGTGCTTGGTATAGTCCTATATAGACTCCAGGATTAAAGAGAAAAGGAGAGAGAATGAGAAAGAATTGGTTAGGAAGCTTTTACACGGGTTCTTTCGTAGTTTGTGTGATATGTATATGTGGGTATGCACTTGTGGTGTGTGTGTTTGAGGGGAGTGTTCACATGTTTTGTGTGCATGGGAGATTGCTGGGGTATACACGCTGCTGGGAGCCCAGCCAGACTTCGGCAACACACAATGTGTGTCTTCATGTGTGTTGCCTGTTTATGACATTTGGGTGTGTATGTTGTGCATCCATACATGTGATGTGGGTATGTGTTCACAGCTTGTGTGTGTGTGATGTGTATGTTTGCACATGATATTTGTGCTTGCATACAGTAGTATGTGTGCCTGTGGTGGCTGTGTATAATGCACTCACATGCCCATATACAACCAGTCCTGTCTATAGGTTCTGCATCCATGGATTCAACCAATCACAGATGGAAAATATTAAAAAATAATTGCATCTGTACTGAACATGTACAGACATTTTTCTTGTCATTATTCCCCTAACCAATATATTATAGCAACTATTTATGTGTTGTTTATGTTGTATTGGGAATTGTAAGTAATTTATAGAGGATTTAAAGTCTACTGGAAGATATTTGTAGGGTCTATGCAAATACTATGCCACTTTATATAAGGTACTTAAGTATCCATGGATTTTGGTATCAAAGAGGAAACCAAACTTCTGCAGATACTGAGAAATGACCATACATATATGGCAGAGTTCTTTATAGCCCCTGGGATTCAAATGTGTTCACTGTATAGAAGTATAATATATTTATAGGAACGTGCCTATCAGGGCTGATTATAGCCCTACCTGCTGAATTATGGCCACCCATAGCTATTTAAGAGAAAAGGGCAAAAACATTTAATTTTAGCCAAACACACAGAGGTCACTGGGTTTGATAAAATTTTTGAAAAAGAAAGGAGGAAGGAAGAAGATTTCAAAGAATCCCCGAATTAGGATTTTTACCTTGACATAAATGTTAGGATTTAAGGGACGCTGCTAATTAATCACATCTCTTCCCTTAAAGGTTCCAGGCCTTTTGACAAGATAGACCCAGATGTACGGAGCTGAAATGATCAACTGTATTTCCAGTCTCCCTGGAAGAGCTTGCATTGATCTGTCACAGGACTGACCTGCACTACAGGTCTGAGCAGTCCTGCCGAGTTCATGATATGGAGGGACAGGGAATGGACATGGGCTGCTGGGAGACAGAACCAGAGGGGCTGGGCTTTCACAAACCTGACTTTCCTCTCAGCGCAGTAGGGACAGAAGAAGGACAAGTTTTCCTCACGAGTCTTCCATTCCTCCAAAGGCAGAAGTTCCTACCTTATGGATCAAGACAGGAAAAGCACAGAGTGAGGGGCGAGGGGCGCAGAGGGAGAGGCAAGCCTGCGTTTCCATTGGAGTTGGTGCGACACCCATGTCGTTGCTCCCAGCGCCTCCTTGACTCACGCAGCCTCGCTGGTCCTTCCCAGCATCTCTATGCTGTGCCAACTTCTCTTCACCGCCATCATTGTTCTAGACTTCCACTGACTATCTTCTGACTCTTGTCACCACCTCCAACTGGTCTCCTACACTCCAGTCTTGAACCCTCCTTCCAGTCCAGACTATACATAATCCCTCTGTAGGCTACCTACAATTTTCTCATCATATAGAAATCCTCAGGTCTGGCATATGCAAATACATGCACCTGTCACCCTAGATGACGGAGCCCAAACTCTTTGTCCAATTCATCACAGTCTTCCTCCATCTGGGCCCTTTTCAAATATATCTCTATTTCCCTTAAAATCCTCTTTTAACAAAATACCCATGTGAACTACCATCTCTCTACTTTTACACTAATGCCACATCTTAAATAGGTTAAGCATGTGAGCGAGTGACCTTCCCACAGCCCCAAAGAGCAGATCACAAGCGTGAAGCCCACCTCAGCCCCTTGCCTTTCCACCAGGCAGTGACCCTCATGTTTCTGGTACAGACACCTGGCCTCACCAATTTGACTGTGGTTATTAAAGCAATGCAATTCTTATTCAACACCACACCATACACAAAACAATTACAGAAACGGAAGAGGCACTGTGGTCCAAAGAAGCAGCAATCTATGCCACTCCGCAGGGAAAAGTGACTACAAGCTTGAAGATAGAAGCTGCATGCACATCACAGGACAGACACAGAGCTAATACTTTATTTTAAGGGAATTTTAAGAGTAAAATCTGACTTTCCATAAGTTGATGTCTATGTGCTCCTTTCTGATGGCAGATATGACACTGCCAATGTGCTCCAAGTGTCGAACCTGTGACCATAATGAATCTTCATCACTGGATTCTTTAAAAAGATGCCAAAGCTAAGGTGCCAAGGAAAATGTCTGCATATTCAATCCATCTGCTCATCCTTGATGTTGCAGATCAAATACCCCAGCTCCTCTTCAGTGTCTTTGAAACAAACTAGGCTTTGGAGCCAGCCAGGCAGGGATTCAAATCCACAAAAACCACAACTAGCAAAGTGACTTTGAATGGCAAGTTGACATTGAGCCTTGGTTTCTAATGCCATCAAATAGAAGTAGTGAACACACCTTAGAGGACCAGAATAAAACAAAATAACCAGTAGACAGCATCTCTAACAAGGTAGGCAACTACAATCCTTCATCACTCAACAATGAGGATACGTTCTGATAAAAGCATCATTAAGCAATCGCATCCTTGACATCACAGAGTGCATTTACACAAACCCAGGTGGCATAGCCTGCTACACACCTGGCTGTGTGGTGCATAGGTGTTGGTATCGCTTATTGCTTTTAGAGCCACAATGAGCAAAACAACACAAGATTAAATCAAGCACAAGAGAAAATGATGCCATCAAGAGAAACAGTAATCACAAGATGTATGAGGCTGCTGCTGGTGTAACCCAGCACACTGTTTTACAACACATTTTATTTTAATAAGTAGAAGGAGTACACTCTAATAAGGATAACAAAGTATAGTCTAGTTGTAGCATGAACTAGTCACATAGCCATTTGTTATCATAGTCAAGTATTACGTACTGCACATAATTGTACGTGCTATGCTTTTTTATAATCAGCAGCACCCTGGGCTTGTTAGCACCAGTCCCACCACAAACACGTGAGTAGTGAGTGCTTCATACTACTGTGTCATAATGGCTACAATGTCACCAGCTCCATTATAATCTTATGGGACCATCATTGAATGCACAGTCCGTTGTTGATGGATACATTGTTATGCAACACATGACTGTATTGATTTTCATTTAATGTCATTTCCTCTGTGCACTGTGCTGCTTTGCCAATGTTGCTGTCATGGTCCTTATACACTTCCTAGTGATATCTGGATGAGCATCCCTCTCCTCCTCTGCTAGGAGTTTCTCAAGGACAGGGGTTTTCCCACCTTTGTGAGCACTTATTTTATGTCAGGATCTGGGGTAAGCTCTCTGCATATACTATCTCATTTAATTCTCACAACCACCACCAATTACCCCTATTTAAAATATGAGAAAATTGAACTTTATAGGGTTCAAGAAACTTGCCCCTGTTCGTAGAGGTGCAAGCAACACATCTGTTTTCTGCACCCATGTCCAAATCCAAGTCCAGATCTTTATCACTTTCCTATTCGAGAGCAAAGAAAACTTAGCCATCCTCCTGTCAGCCCTCCAATACACCCCAGCACATGAGTGGCTTAAATAAACATTTAAAAAGTGGATAGTACATAAAGGGATTCTGATTTCATACATACGAATACATGTTTTCCTTGAGGCACAAAACTGTGCCTGAGACATGATTGCAAGGGCATAAGTAACTTTTCCAGAAAAGGGCTCCAAATTTACTAGCTTCTGTTTCATAGAGGTGCATTCATGAAACAAAAGCATGGTTTATATCCCAAGGAGATTCTCTTGAAGGTCCGGAGGGAGGGTGTTCACTGCAGCATTATTTGTGGAGGCAGGAAATTGGAGTATCATCCCTGGGAGAGCAGACAGGCAAAATTCAATCAATGTTCACCCTGGGGTACAGCAATCAGAAGAATGGCTCCTAAGCAGACAGAGCAACATGGGAGCTTCTAAAGGCAAAGAAGCAAAATGATACCAAGTTCAGTACTATTTACACAATTCTATCTGCAGAAATTAAAAATGCATACACACAAAGCACAATACACATTTCGGTGGTATGGTCGGTGACTAAGAGTATGGATTCCAACTCCAACTTTCCGTTTCAAATCCCAACTTGGTTGCTTAATAGCTGTATGACCATAGACAAGTTACTTAATCTTTCTATGCCGCAGTTCTTTCATCCATTAAATGGGTATAATAAGGATTATTGACTCATAAGGTTGTAATGAGAATTAAATGAATAATAAACACATAAATTTACATAAAGGACTTAGAACAGAGTCTGGCACATAGTATGTTCTGTATGTTATTTTTATTATTATATATTGTAAATGCAAAGAAAAGATACACAGTAAACATTAGTATAAATGTTAAAAAGGAATGGAAGTGGATATGGGGTTTAAAAGAATAAATAATGAGGAACCTTGCAAAGCACAGTGATACTAATTTACCATAAATTCAGAAATACTGATAATTCAATCATCTTCGGTTAGTGCTTTTTAAAAATCAGTGGAATTTGGGCTGGGGATATAGCTCAGTCAGTAGAGTGCTTGTCTCACATGCACAAAGTCCTGCATTCAATCCCCAGCACAAGAAAAAAATTTAAAAAATCACTGGAATTTACTGGCCAAGCTTTTATCAACCACTTGCCTCACTGAGTTAGAGAGTTATTTGCAAGTCACATTTGTAACAAGTCAACTTTCAAAGTTTAAAAGACTTACCATAAATTTAGGATTAATTCATACGTTTGAAAGGGTACAACTAAGCCCACTCTGCCCCAATACCCAACACGTAGACACGGAGTAAAAAAATTAACAAGCACTTGTTAGATGCTTGCCGACTCTAAGCAAGACACAGAAATGGCTATGATGAAGAAAGAGGAAGTCATTAATGTACACTTTGCAAACACAAAATACAAAGTTAAAAGGCAAGTGGAGTGGTACCAACTATAGCTTTTGAGGCCATTTTTAACTACTTACAGCTGCAGCATGGGGAAAGCCTTCATAGAGGAAGTGGGAAGCAGAACTGGCCCCACCAACTGCTTGAAAAACTTCTCTTGGCTTTTCCTATTCAGAGGTGGCCAAGAGATACACCAGGAAAAAAGACCACTTAGCACAAACCCAATGACCTTACCCTCCACACAGGACATCTCATACTTTCTGGTACTGCAGTTAAAATGGGCCCATTCCCTGGAAGGTGAGGGAGCAACTGCACTGTGGACGGAAGGTAAACATGAAAGAATGGGGAGGGGCCAGTTTTTACACCAGTTGTCTTTTTTTGTGCATGATAATTATACATAATAGTGGAATTCAGTGCGACATATGCTCACATTCATGTAACACAACTGGACCAATTTCATTCCTCAGTACTTCCTCTTTTCCTCCGCTGCTCCCTCCCCTGGCCCTCTTCTTCTGTCTATCCTACTGGTCTCCCTTCTAATTTCCTGAGATCCACCCTCTTTGTTTTCCTTTTTTCTCTCTAGCCTCCACGTATGAGAGAAAACACAGAACCCTTAACTTTCTGAATCTGACTTAGTTTGCTTAATATGATGGTCTCTGGTTCCATCCATTTTCCTGCAGATGACACAATTTCATTCTTCTTTTTGAGGAGGTGAAACTCCATTGTGTATATAGACCACATTTTCTCTATCGAGTCATCTGTTGACAGACACCCAGCCTGGTGACATAACTTGGCCACTGTGAACTCTAAACATGGGTATGTGCATATCACTGTAGTATGATGACTTTAATTCCTTAGGATAAATACTGAGGTGTGGTGGAGCTGGGTCCTATGATGTCTCCACGCCTAGTCTTTTGCGGAACCTCCATACTGATTTCCATGGTGGCTATACTAATTTACATTCCAACCAACAGTGTAAAAGTGTTCTTTTTCCCACACCCTCACATTTATCATGACTTATATTCTTTCTTTCCCCTCATTTTTTTCTTGGTGCATTATAGTTGTACATACCAAATGGAGTTTACTGTTACTTATTCATAAATGCACTCAATATAACAGTATAATTTGGCAGGTGTCACTCCCCAGCACTTCTCCCCTCCATCCCCATCTTTACCCCTTGGTCTCTTTTCTCTAATGATCTCCCCTTTGGTTTTTAGGAGACCCACCCACCAACCTTTCTTTTCCTTTTTTCTTTCTATCTTCTTCATATGAGAGAAAACATATGACATTTAACTTTCTGAGTTTGACTTATT